TCTCTCTCTCTCTCTATCTGTCTGTCTCTCTCCATTCAATCCCATAAGCCCCGGCAGGCGTGCTGGCACACATGCAGCTGAGCACAGCTTGACTTATCAAACTTGGAGTGCTGTCCATAAAGAGTCAGCACTCCTCTGTGTAACAGCTACAGTCCAGTGAGTGTACTGATGTTCTGTCTGAGTCTACTAAATCAATACACAATATGATTCTGAGGAGACAATCTGCCTCATTTTCACACTGGAAAAACCCTGCAGAGACTCTACTGCATCCCCTGATACCTACTTGTAGTGTTTTTAGAAGAAAAACAGGTAAAAAAAGTCTTGATGCACATGTTCCAGGACAACAGGGCCTCAACCTCAAAACAGAAATCATCTTTAGCCTAAAATATCACCTGGAGTTCTGTCTTTTTTTCTAATTTTCTAAATTCGATAATTATCTACTTTCTGTCTCCTGGAAATGACGTTTATTTACAACAAATTTGTTGATCTGATCAAGTTTTTTTTGGACACAAACCAGATAAGGGCCAAGTTGCCAATGTTTTGTGCGTTGATCTCCGCTAACAACGAAGGAGAGATACAATTTTCGATAACATTCACTGTTAGCGTCTAAGTTTAGTGAATTTGTGTATTTTGCCAATTTAGGTGTCAGAACTCAGAGTAACTTGCACCAGTGTGCCAAAAACACATTTCACACTTTAATTTTAACTTGCAGCAAAAATATTACACAGCTGAGCCTGGCTGTTGTAAAGAAGATTTGCTTTGTAACACTTAGCAGGCCGAGGTGAACAAAACACAACACAGTAAAGCAAGGGTTAGTATTTAATCAGTATATCACTATAATATGCTTGGATTGTCCTTGATCAGTTCAGCACAACTTGACACTTAAGATATACACCAGGATGGCCGAGTGGTTAAGGCGTTGGACTTAAGATCCAATGGATGTTGTCCTCGTGGGTTCGAACCCCACTCCTGGTAAAAAGGGACAGTGAGGTGAGGCTGTGGTAAAATCACCTGAAATTATGTTTATCACTGTTAGGAAAAAAGGTAAGCTTCAGCGGTCAATATGTAGGTTTTAGTAGCATGATGAAGTCAAATTGCAGATTGCAGTTAACTGAAGACTGCTCAACCTGTGAAGAAGAACAACCTGTGAAGGACAACAGTCTGTGAAGTGTGATAGAGGAACTACAGTGGCTGCGAAAAATATGAAAGACCCTGTCTATAGCCTGTCTTTGGTTTATTGGTTCTGGGCTACTGTAGACACATGGCGGTTCAACATGGTGGACCTCATGGACCTTGGTAGATGAAAATGAAACCTGAAAGTTTCCTATATTTAGGTGATTATACACTAATAAAAAACATACCTATGTATATTGTATTCTATTTCTGCCAAAAGATCTTCCTAAATGTTACACAATGGATTTTTAAGGTTTGAGAAAAGTCATGGTTTTGGTTTAATATTGAAAAAGTCCAGTGACTCAATAGCACAAGATATGTTAACTTTTTTAACATTTAATTGAAACCATCTTTCCTTGACCCTGACCAATGTGCTACAAGCAGAATATCCTACGCTTTGGTTACCTCCTCTGTACAGTAGACAAACCAAAACTAGAAAATACATGGCAAAACAAAATATTAGTGTACACATGTAATTTCCAGGAGACAGGAGGTTAACAGTTTGTTATGTGGGGCACATAAGCGCCAGTTTGCCCTCCAGTTTGTTGACGAGACTGAATCTGCATGATTTAGCTTATGCTGTCTCTTGGAGAGGAAACATGGGCCTGATTTGTTTTTGCCTCTTTGTGCATTCAGACAGCTGATCCCCTGCATGTCTGCCTGTCTCTGCTGTAAAATAAAGATGAGCTGAACGAAGTCAGTGTAGATCAGATTCTGTCATTTAACTGTGATTGACAAGATGAAACTTGCATATTGCGCATATATCAATACAAAATGTTGTTTTTCATTGTCTTTATTACTTACATGTTGATTTTTGATTTAACGCTGAACATATTTTACAGACCATGAAACAACGGCTGGAAAGAATGATCTTGTTTCCATGCCTGTTATTCTGTGCCTGCAGGGTGATAATTTTCTCTCCCTGTAGACTAAAGAGTGCAGAGAAACAGGGAATCACTATTCAGTGTTTTCCTAGTGCCTCAGGTGGACGAGCAAGACACACATGGGAGGATGGGTGGTGTTACAGTGTATTTTGAGCTTTTGTATATGTGTGTACAGTCACATACACACTACTAATACACAAAGTTCAAATGCACCTGGTTGCTTGCATATGTGCATGTATGTGCAGTTTTGTGCGTGTGTTTTTGTGCTGCGATGGTGTTTGATGGTTGATTCTATTGTTTTGAGTCTTTGAAGGTTCCCTCTTTCCCTCTCGGTGGATTCAGCTGCAGGCAGGTCGTCTCAGATCAACCCACTTAGAGTTTTACCAGAAACAGAAACTGCACAATGCATTTTAAACTTTTTCTCATGTTAGTGCTGAAGCCAAAAATTTTGAGCTTCGTTCTAAAATCCATTTGAATGATAGTTTTGAATATATTTTAGATCAGTTAGTATTGAGCCATGTGCTTTGGTAGTTGCACAATATTTTCATATCGTTAAATGTGACAGAAAAAAAAAAGATAAACAAAAGGAAAGGGACCTGAGCAGTTTGCTAGATCAGTGATAGCCACTATGTCTGAACAGAGATAGAAAAGAGTATCATCTACAAAAAGTCAAACTTCATCGACCAAAAAACAGTATAATGACACACCAGAAGTTTTGGGGGGTATTAAGCAAGCAAAATGACTTGATTAATGTTAGAAAATACCATCTTAATGGTCAAAACGACTAGAGTTGATTAGTTTAGTTAAAAAAAATTAATCTGCTATTTTATTCTTTTATTAAACAGAAACAACAAACATTTTCTAGTTCCAGCCTCAGAAATTTGATTGAATGGCATGGAAGTGGCGCTGTCCAGTTTTGTGGCTAATAAATTACGTGGTATCCGATGTGTGCACAGACAAGCGTACTCGCCAATACTTGATAACAAATTTTAGGCAGTATTGGAGCAATTTACGATTGTATCAGAACAACTCTATTGCTAACAAATAATAATATTAATTTTCTTTTGATCAACATATCAATCTTTGAAAAGTCAATCCATCCATCCATTAGCTCATCTTTTAGAGGGTCGGGGAGGGCTGTAGCCGATCCCAGCTGACGAGATGCGGGTACAGACGTACTTCTAAAAATGGAGTCTCCAAAATGCCAGAAAATATTGGACAATCCCGAGGACAAGTTTCTGGCACACAAAGTGATGCCTTTAAATAGCTTCTTTAGTCCAATCAACAGTCCAAAATGTGATCCTCCTACAATAATGTTTTAAAGCACACAAAACATTCACATTTGGAAACTGAAGATGGGTATATCTCACTGGTTAGGGACAGTTATGTCAAAAAATATATAACCAACTGTGCATTTGTCACATAAAGTCTAATAAATTGTAAAATGTCTGTAACACTATAAGCTGTCATAAAAATATGTTAATTTCCACACGTACTGTCCTAAGAGAGATGATGTGATGCAGTTGTGATCCTCGTAGCTTTGTCTGCAGCACTGTTTGATGTTAAGGGGATTGTTCAGGTGTCCTGCCAAAGGCTCAGTGTGTTTGTGTGTGTTGGGGGGAGTCGGTCTTCTCCCTCCTCTCTCCTTCCTCACCCCCTCTCTATTAGTCTGTCATGTCCTGGTATTAAACAGGGATTTGGATGGCAGGAGTGTGTCTGCAGCATAAGATTTGGCTGTACATGCCCGGTCCCAGCAGGGGTGAAAGCTTCGGCTGTGAGCCCCAGAGGACAGTAGACAGAGAGGAGCTTTATTTAACAGACGACTATTTCCTGTCCCTTCTCATAGCTGATAAGACAGCAACAAATATTTAAAAAAAGCATGTAGAAGAAGACATGATTTCTCTGGTTATTGTCAGGGAAGGATTACAAATAGATAGCAAGCAAAAGGTAAAAGCTACACTGAGGCGATAATCGGTAAAAAAAAAAATGCTTTCAGGTATGTTTTCGAGGTAATGTTTAGGATTCTGTACATGGGTTTACTGCTCGCCATCATCTTTGTCATTTACGAAAGCCATAAAATCCAAATCTGGGCATGTGTGTAGGTGGAGCAGAGGTGGGACAGGAAAGTGGCAGTTATCTAGACAGAGTGTGTCTGGCAGAACTATCTGTCAATCAATCAAACATATCGTTCAAGTCCTTATCTTCTCTTGACTGCACTGTATTTTTAGTGAGAAGTTGGCTTTCAGTCTATAATTTAGTGGCTTTTAAAGAACTAACCTTGCGAGGCAGCTGGACTCATGAGATCATGAGAGAATCCATCTTGCCAGACTTCAATCTGTGCATTTTTACAGGACCAATCAACATCATTGAGGAAGTACAGGCAGCTAAGGGGGTGGGTGCTAGGTCTTGCGCAACGAGAGGACAGTGTTCATTAAACAACAATGGCGACTCCCATAGATGTTACTGTAGATGCTGCTAGTATCAGTTAAATCAGAACTGGAGAGTATTTCTTCAGTGGAAGAAGAACAAAGAACAAAGAAGAAGTAAGAGTTTGACCACGTTCATCTGTGACAGGCAGATGGTTTATCAAATCACCTGCCGAGTATTTTTTGAAAGCGTCAGCCCTTTTCAAAAGATGACTTTCCAGGTGGTTCTTTGTAACAAACCACCTGGCACAGTCAGATCATTTA